TGTTGTTTTTGGGCGATCATCCTTATGTCAGCCATATCTCTCCGTTCTTCAACTTCGTCGAGGTCATACCTTCTGGTTTTGTCATTCCTCGACCCGCTCTCATGAGAGTATCTCAAACTTGGTTCTCCGACCTCAACTAGTATTACTGCATCGGTCCCATAGACTAATGAGTAGGGCGTCTCTCCTGTGCTCATTTTTGGTGTTGTGTTGTATGCCCATAGCACTTCTGGCCATAGTCCATTGGCGTTCTCAAGCTTTTTCTTCATGATGTTCAGTATTGATTTAGTGGAGGACTCCGCTTGCCCATTGCCCATGGGATGGTATGGGGTGGAGAGTATTCTTTTGATATGCCACTTCTCGAAGAACTCGGTGACTTTTTTCCTGGTGAATTGGGGTCCGTTGTCACGACTGATCTCTTTGGGGAGGCCGAAGTGGCACACAATATTTTTTCATATGAAGGTGATCACTTCTTGTTCGCGTATCTAGGCGAATGCTCCTGCCTCAACCCACTTAGAAAAATAGTTAGTTAAAACCAAAAGAAATCGTATGTTACCTCACCCCGCAGGGAGGGGGCCAACGATGTCCATCCCCCACTTGATGAAGGGCCAAGGTGAAGTGACCGAACGGAGGTGCTCGCCCGCTTGGTGGATCATAAGGGCATCTTCTCACGAAGTCAGCGTTTTCATGGTGGTCCAGCAGTAGCCTGCTCGTATGAGACATCTGACTAGAGCCTGATTGCCGAAATGAGCTTCGTAGTGGCCTTCTTGGACTTCTTCTAGAATGCGCCGGGTCTGATTTGGGCCTAAGCATTTTGCTAGGGGGTCTCAATACGTCCTTTTGTATAGTTTGTTGTCTATGACAATGTACCTGGTCGCTTGCATTCAAAGCTTCTTGGCTACTTTTTCATCATTTGGGAGCACGTCGTCCTGCAAGTATGTAACAATATGGTTGCGCCAGTCCCAAGTTAGGTTTATAGTCCTTACCTCGATTTTATTGATCGATGAGTGGAGGAGGGTGACCACGTTTCTTTCTCTAGTTATGCTTTTAGTGGCCACCGCTAGTTTGGCAAGGTCGTCTCCTTTGATATTTTGCACTCGAGGGATCTGGTCGAGCTGGCATTCATCAAATTCGGGCAGCATCTTGCAGATCTCGGCCTGATACTTTTGTAACCTTTTCTCTTTGATCTGGAAAGTCCCTATGACTTGGTTGACGACGAGTTGAGGGTCGCAGCGTAGGACAACTCGCCTTGCTCCGTACTTAAGTGTCAGCCTTAATCCTGCAATCACCACCTCATACTCAGCCTCATTATTAGTCATGTCCTGGCATCTTATAGACTAGAGAATTACTTCGCTTGTTGGGACCTCGAGTACGAGTCCCAGTCCAGACTCTGATGCATTAGAGGCGCCATCGGTGTGAAAAATCCATAGATCCTATATTTTAGGAGAGGCGTTGGCGGCTTCCCTTTCAACTTTAGGCATTATTTTTGCGTTGAAGTCGGTGACGAAGTCGACAAGTACTTGCAACTTTATCTCTGTTCGAGATTGATATGTGATATCATGTTCGCTTAGTTCTATCGCCCATTTGGCCAATCTGCCCGACAGTTCGGGCTTATGCAAAGTACTTCTTAAGGGAAAAGTCGTGAGTACCGAGATGGGGTGGCACTAGAAGTATGGTCTAAGCTTTCGTGAAGCTACAACAAAGGCCAGGGCCAATTTTTCAAGGTAGGGTACCTCGTCTCGGCGTCGACTAAGGTTTTTCTAATGTAATAGATGGGAGATTGCGTACCTTTATTTTCTCGGACCAAGACTGCACTCACCGCCACTTCGGATATGGCCAGGTAGATGAGGAGGCATTTCCCGGGATCCGCTTTGGAGAGTAGTGGCGGTGATTATAGGTAAGCCTTTAACTCCTTCAGGGCATCAACGCACTCGGAGGTCCATTGGAGGTTGTTGTCTTTCTTGAGTATGCCAAAGGACTTGTGGCATCTGTCGGATGACCGTGAGATAAATCTTGACAAGGCGGCTACACGGCCGGTCAGTCTCTGAACTTGTTTTTTGTTGGTTAAATTCTCTGATATACCCTCTATAGCTTTAATTTTGTCAGGGGTGACCTCGATGCCTCATTTTGATACTAGGAAGCCTAGGAATTTGCCTGAGGTCACGCTGAATGCGCACTTTTCGGGATTCAGTTTCATTCCGTATCGCCTAAGTAAATCGAAGGCTTCTTTCAGGTGATCGATGTGATCCTCTTTCCTTTTGACTGCTCTTGTCTTACTCAGTCCATTGTTAATATTAATGAAACAGCTCCTCTTTTTGCCTGTACAATGCTGTGTTCCTCTGGCTTCTCTTTTCTGTCATGTTGTGTGCACATATATGGCATGAGTTAGCTGTGTTAGACTTCTTTATGCTAATTACCTGCTTGTGTTCTTTTTAATGATGCCAAAAGAGAGATAAAGTCATAAGGGATTTAAGGGATCTGAGATTAGGGGGGAATCAAAAGGAAGAAGAAAATAAGGGTCTTATCTGGTTATTTTTGCTCTAAACAAATACTATCAATGCCAAAGTTTGTCATCATCAAAAAGGGGGAAATTGATGGGTTTTCACTGTCTTTGCCTTATGCTTCTTATGTTTTGATGATCTAACAAACTTATTGTGAAGAACCAAATAGAGAACCTGACCCACATGGTATACATTTTAAATGAATAATGTCCAGTCTGATCTCTAGCAAATTATTGAACAACCACAGGAAGGAACACAACAGGGACCTGGTGACCTGGTCCCTTATGGTTCTCCGACAAAAATACAAGTCAGTGACTGTCCTCAACCATTATAAAGAGGAACACAACAGGGACCTGGTCCCTTAGGGTTCTCTGAAGTACAAGTCAACTGTACAGCTGAAATGTAACAGCAGAAAGTGACCATCTCGCAATTGTTACAAAAGAGGAACACAACTAGGACCTGGTCCCTTAGTGTTCTCTAATAGAAGTACAAGTCAACTATACAGTTAGAACGCAACTGCACAAAAGTGACTGTGCAGCAGACAGTGCAGCAATCACTTTTCATTGGGAATAAGCGTGTACCAAGAATTGACATCACTATCCATTGTGATGTCTTTTGTGATATAACAACCTGGTGCAAGGCACAACACTTCACTTGTGCTTTCAGTGATATTCTCTCAAGCATAACAGTGTTCATCCGGCATTGAAGTCACTGGTGTGTCAAGAACAAGAAGACAACTCCATTAAGGATCAGTTTCATAATGAGTTTATGTATATCCGTAGTTGAGTTGTAATCTTGTTATTTGTTCTTCATTGTATCTCCTATTTTTCTTTCTTAGAAGCTTTGTCTTAGGAAAACCAAAAATCCATAAACTTTCGAGTTTATGTTGTGACTAGGATTAGTCATAAGTTTAAAGTCTTTGTAACTAGAAGAGTCACAAAGTGGCTTGTGGTGAGAGCATCACAAGTTAGTTAAAGTCTTTGTAATAGGGTTATTACAAAGTGGTTTGTAATAGTGAGATTGAAAGTTATTGAAGTTAAAAGCCTACAAGTGTAGGTCGTGATTTTTTGATCCCCTTGTGTGGGATTTTTCCACGTAAAAATCCCTTGTCTTCTTTACTTACAGTTTTATTAGCATTCTCAGCTTAACCTCATAGAGGACCGGGTACTCTGCTGTTTGGTGGACTCATACAAACTAACAGGAATTCCCATAGATGGCGCCAAATTATTTGACCAAAAAATATAATAACTTCAGATCTATAATCAACCTATGTTGATGATGTAGAATAGTGTCGGAACAGGTTTAATGTAATGTGTATTTAATGTTTCAAGGTCAATAATGGGATGAGAATATCAAGCATTAAATAACAATAAATGACACTAAATGTAAATAAGGAGAATGATTCACCCAATATTAAATGAGGTGGATGATTCGTCTTTCTGACAATAATGAATGGCAAATAACTATGAGAATATTGGAGACTTTCTCGAATCTGATGGGAACAGTATAGAATAATCAACAAAATGAATCTCTTTGGAAAGGTGATATTTGTATTTATCTAGAGAGTATGCTTTTCAAGAGAGTTCTTATCAGAGAATAGTACATGCCTATCACCTGATCACCATTTCTATTTATAAGAGACATACCCTTGATTAACCCTAAAAGTACAAACAGAAGGAATATTCAATGGAGTATTCCCTCAAAAACCATGTTACCTCAATAGCCATTACTGCTCCTTCTGACACTTGACCTCGGCCACGATCGACTGTTCGGCAATGAGTTCCATTAGTCATTAGTCTACCTCGCCAAATTACTTTTAATAATATCACTTCGTGTCGTATCTTTAGTCAGATTTTGACCCATACAATGGCAAGACTCTTCGACAAGCTTGGAAAAGATACAAGAAGCTACTCAGAGGTTTCCCACATCATTGTCAGACTGATGAGGTGTTGGGTCACACTTTCGTTGATGGGTTGGACGAGGCATCAAAGATAAATATTGACTCAGCATGTGGGGGCATGGCAAGACCGTATAGTGAGATCCAGATCCTGCTAAGCAATTTCACTACTAATGATAATAATTGGCAAGGAGATGGGAACCACGAAGATCACTTAAACAAAGACCAGTAGGTGTGATCGAGCTTGATGATTTCTAAGCCATGAGGGTAGATATAGCGTGATTAGCAAATCAGATGAATAAAATGAAATGCACCAAGAACAACATATGTAGCATGTGCAACATATGGCTACTTCCTGTGAGTTATATGGTGAATGTCATACAAGTGACATATGCCTCGTGAATTTTGAATCCAGAATCCATCTACTATGTGGGGCAACAAGCTAGGGGTCGATGAATCAAAATGCTCAATATGGTAACACATACAATCCGAACTGGAGGAATCATCCTAACTTCTCTTGGGGTGAAAATTAGAATATCAGGCCTCAAGCTAATTATAATTAGCCACCTAAACCCTTACAACAAGCAGAAGAGAGTTTGATTGACATGATGAAAAAGCTCTTGCTAGACAATCAGAAAGTTATGGCTGAGAATCAACAATTGCGCACAGAGTTTAGAAATCTAGAGAGGCAGTTTGGGAAAATGGCTAACAATCAGAATATTAGACCTGCTAGAGCTCTCCCAAGTGATACAGAAAAAAATCCTCAAGTCAATGCAGTGATGTTGAGAAATGGGAGAGAGTTGGTAGAAGTGCCTAAGAAGAAAAAGGAGCAGTCTGGGCTCGAAGATGAAACAGTGCCAAAACCTGTAGAGGTAGATGAGAGAAACAAAATAGAGTCTGAGCAAATATCAGAGAGGGTGCCACCCCCTTTTCCTCAAAGATTGAGAAATAAGAATGATGACCACATATTTCACAAATTTCTAGATATGCTGAAGCAGATACACGTGAACATCCCTTTGGTGGACATGCTCCGTGAGGTCCTAAAATATGAAAAATATATTAAGGATATAGTGGCAAATCAAAAGAGGTTAACTGAGTTTGAGACTGTCACACTTACTGAGGAGTGCACTTCCAGGATTGAACATAAGCTTCCACAAAAGCTTAAGGATCCGGGTAGTTTTACCATCCCCGTGAGGATTGGTGAAATTGATGTGGGTAGAGCCTTGTGTGATTTGGGTGCAAGTATCAATCTGATGTCGTTGTCAGTGTTCAAACAATTGGGTTTAGGAGCTCTGAGACCCACCGCTGTGATACTACAGTTAGCTGATAGATCTTATGTTTATCCTGAGGGGTAACTGAGGACGTCCTGCTGCAGATAGGGAAGTTTATTTTCCCTCCAAATTTTGTCATCCTGGATTACGAGGCTGATGAGTTAGTTCCTATAATCTTGGGACGACCTCTCCTGGCCACTGGAGATGCAATTATCAAATTTCGAGAAGATAAGATTGTTACACCCCATATTTTCGTACGTGAAAGTACGTCATAAGTAAATTGATGGAAGATCGGAAATGAGCCATTACATCCCGAATTTTTGTATGTTAAAGTTTCGTCGTAAATTAATCGACGTAAGTTCGGGAATGAGATTATTTTAAGATTATAAGCATTATGTTATTTCAAACAAGTGATGAGTAAATTCGTGAAGGTAAGAGGGTAAGCAAATCAAAGAAAATAAATTTCGTCAAAGTTTGTCGAGTTGAGGATAAAATATGATCCGAGCTATAATACTTGATATTTATGGACTAGTACCATACAAGGTACCATATGACCAAGATAGTATGGTGAAGTATATTAAAAATAAGTAAAATTTTTAGTAATTTGAGATAATTCTTAATTATATGGGTAATTGATTAATTATCGGGTAGCGGGATATTACTTAATTACTTAACAAATTAGTAGATAAAGATTTAAAATCCTCACCCCACTCCACCCCACCCCACGTGGTAGCAAGCCAATTCTTAACCAAATTACTCTTAGTCATTTTGTCTAGGTGGCAAGTAATGGCAAGTAATGTGTTAATAAGAAGACACATCATTTCTAATATTTTACTTATAAAAGTAATGTGTTAAGTACAAAAAGAGAATTTGCAGATTCGTAGTATACTAGGTATGAATTGTCCTTATACGTGCACAATTCGTGAATGATTCATTAAGTGGTCAAGATATGTGAAAATAGTTGGTCGTTACACAGCGAATCTTGATTAGCCATAAATCATGAATACCAAGTTTTTATTCTCAAAAAGACACTACCATCAGACGTTAGAATTTTCCTACAAAGTTTTCAACGAAATTCTTGCAACCAAGCAATTCCAACGAGAATTGTTAGAACCGTAGCAACGCAAAATTTTGCGGTTCTAAAGGAGTACGATGCAATCTTTTTCAAGAATATTATATGAATTTTTCCCTACTCCAGGTATGTTAAGGATATCACTTCTTTCTTTTTGGAATGATCCATACGACACAAGCAAAACGAGCAAATGCACAACTTTCATAAATTACTCTATTTGTAGAAACGATAGAGATGTGTATATTCTTATTCTCCCATATGTCATATTATTCTATCATATGTTCATGGGTTTCAAAAATACGTAAGTTGGTAAAGTTTATTTCATGATATTAATCAGAGGCATAATGGTCTTATGACGTACTGAGAGATTTTATTAACGTATTTCATATATGGGTGTTTAACGGGTGGGCCGGACTGGGTAGGGAAATTTAGTACCCGTACGGGTTATGGTCCGGGCCGGTTAAGGGTTGGGACATACCGGGTTTAACGGGTTCGGGTTCATCCGGGTAAAAATTGAACCGTAAGGGTTACGTGTTCATGGGGCCGGGCCGGGTTTGTGTTATTTTTAATTTATTTTTTTTTGTATTTTGTATAACTATTGTAAGTTATATTAATATAAAGTAAAAATATAAATAATACAATGAAGATGGGAAAAAATTGCATTTATAAAGTGCTACATTTATTTCAAAATTCAAACTTACAAATTGAAAGGTTTACATATAACAAGTAAATTAACCAAAAAAGAGTAAATTCAAAGGTTTTGCATTGCCTTAGTAAGTTCTTCATAATCGATATGAACTGAGTGACCTTCTTCTGGAGTGTTAAATACGGGTGGGTTACCATGTGTTAATATATCTCCAAGTTCCTCGTATTTGGCGTGAAAGGAATTCATCAGATTAGCAAAAAGAACTACGATGATGACACGACCTGCAGAGAAATTTCAATACACATGCACATACAAGGGAGATCAAAAAATAAATGGCAGTCAATATTGAAAGGCTTGAATCATTATCCATATGCTAGAATGATGGCTCAATTTGTTAGAAGTGTAATTAGTATAGTTTTATCTTGTTTTCTTATTTTTGGAGGTGGATAGTCCGCATCTGCCTGGTTCTGTAAAAGACAGTTTTTGATGAAATGGAAAGTTTGTTTAATCAAAAAAAAAAATGAAAAAAAGTGAATTTAGTTTCAAGCTCTGAGTCAGAATTAATAACCTCAATTTCAAAAGTCACCACTTAATTCCAGTTCTTCGACACTAATTCACTTGTTTTTGCTGAACCGCCAATTTTTGTGATGCAACAATTAACTACGGACGGGAGCGTGGAATGCACCTTTTCAAAATAACTACCTACTATAGTTTGTAATATACTTAGAACTCTAAGCAATCAAAATATTGTATGTGACACTCCAATTAACACTGTCTGCCTGTCTATGGGGATACCTAACCCTAATGTCTTCACAAGTGACACTACGGGTTGTAATATGTTAAACTCTTTTTAGTAAGTAGTATATAAATCCTATTAGTGCTAAAAAAAATCACTTGTATTGATACAAATCTAGCTAAAGATTGTCAAATGAACTAATCTAGTCACAATCTAAGTATTTGAAGAATTAATCCAAAATGTCAATCAACTAATTCAATCAAATTCTTTGACAACAATCTCAAACCTAGATTCAACTATCAAATTAATATGAAAAGTACAACAAAAGTATAAAAAGAATAACAATTAGTTGCCCCAAATAAATTAAAAAGTGCATACTAATCCTACAACCCTAAATGGGAAAAAAGAAGAAAAAAATTGAGGGAAAGAGAGAAGGGTGTCACCGGAAGCCGGAGAGATGAGTGTCGCCGAAGAACGGGAGGCCGAAGCACTGAGCTGCCTGGGGGAGGGGGTTTTCCAGAGAGAGAGAAAAGAGAAAAGGAAGATAAGTGAGAAAGAAAAAAGAAAGGGGTCCGAGGGGATTTTTAAAAAAATCCGACCGAATTGGTCGGAAATTTAAATACGTTTAAAAACTTCGACCGATTCGGTGGCAAACCCAGTCAACAAAGTCAGGCCTTATTTTAATGAATATCTGAGATGGAATCTGTTGCAGCTTTTTTTTTCTATTTATCCGACCGTTCGGACGCTAACGTACTAAAACGATATTTCCGCCAAAATTTGTGACGGAATATCTGCCGTAAACATTAATAAAATTTGAAAAATATTATTTTAGGCCATTTTCGACCGATTCCGACGGAAATTTTCGATTACTTTTTTCGGTCAAAATATTTCATTTGGAAATGGGTTATTTTTTAATAGTACGTGGAGAGAATTGAAGGCCACTAAGAAGTCTAATGTGTGCTAAATATTTGAAGGTCACATAAAAGAATACTTATTTTATTTCGATTTCATTATTCCTATGAAAAGCTTCATAGATGATTTTGGATTCTTAAAGGTTTTATGATTTAATTTGAAAATATCTTCATCAACAATAATATACTCAGTGTGATTCCACAAGTGAAATCTGGGGAGGTTAGAGTGTACACAGGTAGAGTACACAAACTTTACCCCTATCTTGTGTAAAAATATATATAATTTTCAAATAACTTCCGTGGTTATTCGTTATTCGGTTTTCATGTATGTGGTTGTGGTTGAGATATATCATGTGGTTTGGTTCGCTCAAGTCGTGTGTCGAGTGGCAGTCAAATGGATTTGGATCGTGACATGTTTCAGCTTCTAGGACAATTAGAGTTGGAGTATAGAAGAAATATGTTATGTGAGTGCTGGGAGAGTTAGAGTTGGTAGAAGATTGGGAGAACCATTACCTGTGGCTAGGAAGGAATAACATATGCGTTGAAGGACAAAAATAGCACATGCTTTTTGTTGAGGAAAAAAGACTAGCTAGATGACTTCAAAATGTATACTTTTGGTGTAGGAATAAAAAGGATAGAAAATGCATGCTAGTATTGATTTTTTGAAGCTTTTCATGAGGATGAACCAGTGGTAGCAATACGGTAACTTTGACCTATTTCTTGATTTTCATGGACATGGACCTCCACAAAACTATTGATTGGAAATAACTGAGAAAACGAAAAAAAACTAAAGTGAGGTGCGCACCTGATGAGCACGTTCTCAGTAACGCTCCAAATAACGCCCAGAGCAACGGAATACTTTAAATATTTTAACCATTTTGCAATAACTGCAAGGACAAGATAGTGACAGAATTTACCATGGTAAGCAATTCTGGGTTGGGATGGACCATGACGGCTTTACGGCTATCTGCCCTACACAATGAGCAGACAATTGCTTTATAAATTTAGGATAAAACATGAGGTTAAGGGTGCCAATTGAGTAGGCCGGATCCGATATGGGCAGGTTGAGAACGGGCTAGACAAGATGTATAAAATATCCGACACACCCATATTTAATACGAATGAAAAATAAAGTGAGTCATAAATAATATGGATAACCATGTTATTCATGGGTTCTTCAATATGGTAATTGTTGGAAGAATTTCTTGACTCAATATACATCAATTCAAGGGCAAAAAAACTTTCCCATAAACATGCAGCTTTTGCCATAGCAGTTACTTCACGTAAATACCCATTTTGGATATACATTTTTTTTCCTCTTTTTGAGTGGATAATATGAGTTAGATAGAAATTCAACAAAGTTAATTATCCCATACGTTCTTAACTGGGTGGGTTAGATGGTTACTCAAATATTTTATCCATTTTGCCAGCTCTACTTGAGAGAGCGCATATATTCCACTATTCTATAAGAGAGAGTTAGCAGTCAACATGCCTGCTTATTGTGAGGACATTTCTGGAATTTCATTGTTTATCTACTTTCAAGCTACTGTACATGAAGCTTTATCACCTGTACATATTTTCTGATCGTGTGGGGGCCACCTCAATTCCCATGCCACGTGTCTAGGTAGATTTTGAAATTGCCACTTCCTATCATGTGGACCCCTCTTTTAATGTTTCAATGTCACAATTAATATTTATTTATACCCTTGAATTATCACT